TAGTGACCGGCCCAGCCCTAACCCTCGACACCCCCAAAAAATTAATCAGCAGTACGGACACCCAATGTGTAGACACCGAACCCCTCCTCCTCACCCTCCACCAACCAGGACAGAGACTCGTTGACTAGAGGCAAGTATGGTCTCTGAACACCAAGAAGGGGGACAGCAGAGCCCTTCTCTTCTCCAAATCTTTTATGTGCTGTGGACAGGGAAACATCCCTTTGATGTCTTGGCATTTTGCCTCATCTGCAAACAGCCACTCTTCAGGACAGGACCCAGCGCCACGTGGATTTGAGGTCTGGGCTCCCCTCCGTGGCAATTCCCACGGCTCAGCACTAAGCACACGTCGCTCATCACGTCGGCGCGTTCTGCACTCACCTTCGCTCTCAGTGTAATTTCTTTTCCCAAATGCAGCTTCTGGTAGCTTTTTTTTCAAGTCAGACAAACCCATGACATGGTTAATGTCCAGGTTGGGAGGCCTGTGGGGATAAAGCAGCAGTGAGCTCACAAGCATAAAAGGCTCTTGGGATTAAGCACAGCGAAGAGTCCTGGCTGCCCTGTCACTGCGAAACCAGAAAAAACATCTCTGGAGAAGGCCAGAGCAGAAGATGCTGCCTTCTTAACACTTGGATGATTTGACCTGATAGTGGTGGTTGTGTCACTGCCTGTTTCAAATTGCTGCCTCCTGGCTGGCTTCTGACTACAGAAGATTTTAAACATCTCTTTTTCAATGCTAGTTACCTCAATATTTGATTCACCACCACGCAGATCTGTAAACCCAACCAGCTGATCACAGGTGTCCCCTCAGAAAACCCACTTCTCACAGGGAGAAAAAGTTTTTTAGGAATAATTGATTTGGAATAAACATCCCAAAGCAATTAACAAAAAGAGATGATAAAATACAGCTGTTTCCAGCTGCAGTTCAGGGCCTCACGCAGCTGTTGCTGTGATGCTGCACTACTGGCTGTCCAACGCCATTTTCCTGATGCTGATGATTGTCCTGGTGATATGGCTGCAAGAAGATGCTGATCAATAAAATGACAAAACTGGCTTTTAGCCGGTACGCAGACACCCAAAGCTGTATCACTTCACACTCCACAAATCTCACAGGAAGAAAAGGGGCAACTTACAGCTGGGCTGGAATCGTGAAGCCGTACGGGGTCCTCAGAGCGATGTTGCACAAAAGGTGGCCCTGGATGGAAAGCTGCCCCCTCCACGGACAGTACGACGCTACGGGCACAAGGGAGAATGGCTCAGAGAAAACAGGAGAGGAGGCCAAACAGAGAAAAGTATGTTTATAAAACAAAAGAAAACCAAACTAGGTGCTCCTACCTTTGTGATTAAGCTCAGGTCTAGAGAAAAGGGAGAAAAAAGAGGAATGTTTAGCTATGGGGAAAGGAAAACCAGTCCACAAAAGCGCCCATGGTGTTTTGGGCAAGTTGCTTACAGGCTCTCTATAGCTAAGACGGGCATTTCCTTGGGTTCGCGGTACTGGCAGGCGATGACTATGTATGGGCGGATCTGCCGGGGCCGTTCAGCAGCGCCGCCATCGGACACTTCGTACACGTAATACTGGGGAGAGAAGAGAAACACGGGTGAAAAGGTAAGGTGAGAAACGAGCGAGGCACCTGGGCCAGCGCTGCGTTGTCCCACAGCCCGCGAGGGAGCCGTCTGCACAGCCCATACCTGGCTCAGCTCGAAGGCCTGGCGGTGGCTGGTGTCTGACGGCGCGTTGTTTCTGCTCACGGCGACGTGGCAGTCGTAGCCAGGAGATGGGCAGGTATAGCAGGACGTGTCATTCTCAGATACCAGCTTGACCTTCCCCTGCGACAGAAAATTTATCAAAAAAAAAAAGAAAATGACACGTAACTGTTGACAGAAGACCTCACAATCCTCCTTTTCCTTGGTTTCAGTGCCAGCTACAGAGAGTAAGAGCCAGTGGGGAGGGGAGAAAGGGGCCACATGCCAGCCCCATGGAGGAACAGAATGGGCCACCTTAGGGCTCCTGCCTCAAATCTCCAAAACGCATGAGAGTCCAGGAACAAAAGTCACCCTACGGGAAATTTCTGATCTCAACAGTGGAATTTGGAAGGTCCTCTGCATGCTCTGCTGCCCCACAGGCCACCAGTCAAGCCCAGCTGGATTTCTTGCTTTCCAGGCTGATGTATTATTCCATAGTTAAAAATCCTGATGAACCCTCAACAGAGCTGATTTTACACCCCACCACAGTTACGGGCACCAAGGTTTCCTTAAAAACTCCTTGCAATGTATAGAAGCTTCTGAAAACCATTCCACAATAAAAAGACAGACTTGCATTTTACCTTAATTAGCTTACAAATGACAATATAGCCTGATTTTCCGTGATACCAGGGTCTCGGATGAAGACAGTCTGCGTACTTGGAAATATAAACCCCTGTGAAAACAAAGCAACACGAGATAAAGCGAATCATCTGTCGAGGAAAACTGGTCGCCAAAAAAATAAACGTGAAGAGGACCCTCCTTGCAGAAAGCGGAGTCTCTGCAGAACCGAGCAGCACCTGCTGCCATAAAAAGGATGAAACTCTTCCCAACTCCTTTTTGTGACTGGTGGTATGGGACAACATTCTATGTCTCAGAGTCACCTCTAGGAAAGGAGCTGCCTTGGGTTCCTCCTGGCAGAAGTGGCCCAGCCGAGGTCAGTTTTGCCTCACGCTACGTGGGGCTCCCTCTACAACTGTGTGAAAGGAGGTTGTAGCGAGGCAGGGCAAGTGATAGGATGAGGGGAAATAGCCTTAAGTGGCACCAGAGGAGATTAGGGAGAATTTCTTTACTGAGAGGGTTGTCAGGCACTGGCACAGCCTGCCCAGGGAGGGGTTGAGTCACTGTCCCTGGAGGGGTTTCAGAGAAGGGTGGATGTTGCCTTGAAGGAGATGGGTTAGCGGTGGTCATAGGGCTGGGAAAAGGTTGGACTCGATCTTGAAGGTCTCTTCCAGCTGAAACTACTCTATGATTCTATAAAACAGGGACATTTATACGTGGGGAACACACACCGCAAGGGCAAGAGAGCAGGCCCATGGCACAGCGTAGACTCTCCCAGGCCCCACCCTTGGTTCTTTATGTCCCTTCAGCATCCCACCACCACCTAACTTGTGACAAGGTCTATTCTGACATGGCTTATTCCCATCCCTCTCCATGCCCAGGCCATATCACACGTGGATTTATTAGCAGGGAGGGTGTTGGTTTTTCACTCCTGCTTTATATTTGTAGACAAGATGGGTAGAGAAGTACAAGGAGGGGGAAACAGTCTGGGCAAGGGAAGGGTTATTATGACATACGCCATAATATCCACCTCAGCCCATCAGGACTGAGATATACACCCAGATAAATAACCAGTTTTTGCTTGGTTTTGCATTCACTGCCATTGAGTGTTCAATAACCAGGTATCTTGGCCTGCAAAGGCTTGGGGGATGAGCTCTGGGAGATGTGCTGCTCCTGGCAGAAGGATTTCTTTGAGTAACACGTCCTGTGCTGCCTGTCTCGAGGCCCCAGACCTTTGGGCAGGGAACAAGCACACATGGAAAAGGGCTTTGATGTGCCACGATCTGCTCTGGTTATTAACAGGACTGTTGGCAAAAGCTCAGCAATTGGACTCCAAAGAGCAAACCGGTGGGGAGAGCTGCCAAAAAGCCACTTTGGGGACAGCAGTTGTTATTACCAAGGGAGAAAAAGCCTGAACTGGAGAGGTGAAGAGACAATAACATTCCCTGGGGAAGATCCCAGGCAAAAGGCTGCTGCTTGCTTGAGCCAAACAAATGCAGTTTACCCTGCGAGGCACAGATGGATTTCCGTGGATCTTAGCAGTGAATAACAAGGCAGGAGTTTTCTGGGCTTTTAGGTTTTTTTTTTTAGAGGAGTCAATATCCCCAGAGGAGGGAACTCTTGGTCCTCCAAACTGAAATCTTACCTTTTGCTGGGTCACCAAGAGTGGAAATGGAACTGCTGTTTACACGGAGGCCTGTCTGACACACCTCTTTTGCCTTCAAAAGAAGAGACAGCCTCTTTTATCATCTAGTTTCAAAGATAAGGTACAGAGCTACTGAAATCTGTGGCAAAATACTCGCAGCAGGCAAACACATGCTGCAAGTCAAGATCCTTACAGTCCCAAAACATCTGTGGTGTAAATAAAACTAAACACAGCGTCCGCAGGAAGAACCCACAGGAAGAAGAAGTGTTGCTTCAGATACTAAATACTTGTATTTATCAAGTGGTGTTACCAAAATCTCTGTGGAAGCAAAAGCTTAGGAAAATCTGGAAAAAATCCAGCATCTCCAGAAACCGCTGCGACCGCAAGGCTGGACTTTGCACTTTTTCTATCTGCATGAGCAATTTGTGGAAAAATAAACGCAATGAGGCTGGCACGAAGGCAAAGGACGTGTGCTCCCTCCTCCAGAGGCACAGTTACTACCTTGGGAGCATCTCACCGGGTTTGATTTAATCCACGACCGAAGCAGATTCACCAAAATGTGCCAAGTGCAAATACACATGGACTGAAGTGTGACAGCAGGAGCAGTTTGAATTCACCATGGGCAAGAAATAAAAGCAAATCAGTCAAACTGATAAGTCAGTCCCTTGATAAGGAGCATGGGGCACTCAGCACACCTATCTGCTGCTGCCTAAAAGGCAAGTGTCCGGCTTAGGCGAGCCAGCTGGACTTCTCCTCTGAGCAACGAAGGCAGAGGCAGCTCCAGAGAGGGATTTAGCCCAAGGATTTTAGATTTTAAATGAGGTCCAGGTGTCCTCTGCAGAGCTCCCTCTTGCCCAAGGTGTAGACAAGGAGCTCAGTCACTTGGCGCAGACCGTGACAAATTTCAAACAGCCCCAAGAGAAGCGGGACAATTCCCGCACCCAAACCGCGCCTGCAAGTGGTTTATTTCGCTGTAGCTCAATCCAAACCGAACAGAACTAAGCATTGAGGCCACTCTCATCCCGAACAAAACCCATCTCCGCCGTGACTCAGCACAGCATCATTAAATTGTGTTAAAAGTGAATTCCCACCAGAATCCCTGAGCATCCTCCTGCAGGCAAAACCCTTTTCACGAGGTCAACAGCATCCTCATGAAAAACGGGCAGGAATAACTTTCTCAATAGCTGTGCCAGGCTCTCTCTCCACCTAGCTGGCAAAACCAAGAGAACTCGCCCCAAATCATCTGAGAAACTCCTGTCTTCTGTCACAAAGGTGTTTTTCTCTTCTAAGCGTACATGAAAGTGTTCACCTGCCTGTCCTTGGCTGTAAATCCACTGGGACCAAGAGAGACTCTTTCTATCTCCCTGCAGAGGGCAAAGGCAGCTAAATCTCAAACAATAACTGACTGGAGAGATGCAAAATAAAACCTGTCACTAAAATCTCTCAAAAGCTGCTTTCACAGTTTGTTCTGGACTATTTATACACTAATGATTGCACTGGTAACCGCTGTACAGAGTCAGGACACTTCAGTCAACAGATCTGCTGGGTTTTGGAGGGACAGAGCACACGTGCAGGCCCGTGGCATCAAACTTCTTAAGTGGAAAAAAACATTTCAGGTTACCTTTTCCTCATTATCGAACAGGAGAAATGCAAAGGTCTCCTCCAGCTCCTCCTGGCTGTACCCGGCGGCTTTCTTTGCTTGGGCAAAAGCTTTGAGCTGCAGAAGACACAACAACACTTTGTTCTACTCCATTCATGCCGGAGCCACGTGACCACGTGCTCACAGTGCGAGGACGTGTCCCAAGTTCCCCCACTCGTGGTCAGTACGGGGCAGCTGGCAGCAGCTCACATGCCCACACATCAATCCCTCCTGCTGGCACGTGTACGCCCCCACAACAAGGCCCCCAAAATTGTGCACCCGTCTCTGTCCCCAGGCAGAACATGTCCAGAACAGCAGGAAAAATTTATTCACCGAAAAGGTTGTCAAGCAATGAAACAGGCTGCTCAGGGAAAGGGTCGAGTCCCCACCCCTGGGGGGATTTTAAAGCTGAGCGGAGGTGGTGCTCAGGGACACGGTTTAGTGGTGGGCCTGGCCGTGCTGGGTTGGACTCAACGATCCAGAATCACAGAATTATTGAAGCAGGTCTTTTCCAGCCTCAACAATTCTGTGATTCTGTGATCTTAAAAGGTCTTTTCCAATCTAAACAATTCTGTGATTCTATGACCTAGCCCTGCGGCGTCACGCTGAGCTCATCCCGGGGAAGTCCAGCCTTATTCCACCTTGCCCCTCTTGCCACACATCGTCACTACGGGGGAGCTTGTTTCACCGACCAGCACGTGGGCTGGTGGAGCATCACATTCAGTAGCCAGCTACAGCCACGAAAAGAGAAATCATCTCAGCCACGGAGAAGATGCCTACAGAATGGGAGATGCTTGGAGGCAGCTCTCTTTTTCTCTCTCTCCACTTACCAGGTAGGCCTAGACTATCTGACTAGAGGGTGGGTGCTACCGTGCGACTACAGCTCAGGGGGGTTGGCTACAGCCAAACAACACATTACTCCAATTTCTTCTCTCCGATAATTAAAGCAGAGCGTGTTCTCACTGCAAAAGGGAGAACATCATGGGAGCAAACAGAGCTGGGCCTGAGTCGATGACGTTTTGGGGCTTTAATAAAAGAAGCTGTAGAAGGATTGGATTTTTTAAACATGGTTAGAAGATAAGAAAACAACTGTATCACTGTTTTTGCTTATTTTGGTTTTAGAGCTCACAGGCAAATCAAGAAATGACTTGATAGCTGCTTTCCCAGATTTTTACCCGGCTCTACAGCAACTATCCCAGATTTAGACGGCCTAAATGTCTAAGCTCTGTTTAATTCATGACAACAAGCAGACTGGTCATCTCCAGGCCCCAGAGAAGACAACTTGTCCTCCATGCCAACAACATGTAGAGGTTAAACCATTTTAAAAGCGGTTCCATACATGCCACTGTCGGCTGGAGAAAAGGAAACAAGGTTAAAACTGGTGCCTGCACGGGTGTGGGGGCAGGCAAAATAAAAACCGCATGGAAATGTGCCTCCATGGGAATCACCAGAAGTGCAGTTGCCACTAAAGCTCTCCTCCTTGGTATCAAACCAGGATTTCAACCTGCCCCGGAGGGCCTGCGCCAGGAGCTGCTGCTGAATAGTTGGCACCGTT